GGAGGTGCACAATGTTTATTCCAGCTGCAGGGGGAGGCCAGGCGTGTAAAGGAAATCAGATATCTCCATAAAATGCTGCCTCTGCTGGGGCACGTCACAAAGGTGCTGCTCAGACTCCCTAATCCATTTGCAGATCCCTTTGCCTCCTCTAGTAGAAGACCTATCTACAGCTCTGTGGTCTTTTAGGGAGGTAATAGACACCATACTCCTTGGCTTAGCTGGACTGAAGGTCAAGTTCAAAGTTTGGCAAACTCCCCTTAGCCATGGCTCACTGGGTTAGCAATAAGAGGGCAGTAGGAAAGGCATTCCTTCAGAGTTTCCACTTGTATCACTTTAAATAGCAGCACTAGTCATGTAATGTCTTCTCCAGCCCTCTGTGGCTCCACCAGCCCAGTAGAGCACACATTTAGCCCTATGAAAGTTCGGTGTGAACTTAGTCATGCTTATTTTGAAGACATTGTAGAAATAATTAAAGGAAAAATGCCCTCAACAGATAAGGATTTGGGCTATTGTTCTTCATTTTTAACATTACCCACCAGCTTAAAATATTAAAAGATGTGATCAAACGTAATGCTGTACATAGAATCAAGATACTAGACACTTTAAATTAGCATTTAGTCTATAAGATATTATAATGCTGTTATACTTAGTGTTAGCCTTATAACAACATAGCACTGTCTATTTAACAGTGCTGTTCAGTGGATTTCAGGCACTACTGCTCTGTGTAATTACAAAGCACTTTACCATTATGCCTCTGCTAGCCCATGTAAAAGGAGGGCATTAGAAAGGCGAGCTGCCAAATGAGAGCATTTAACAAAACATTTTTTAAAAAGAAGGGGAAAAAAACCCTATCCTGATTAATTAGTGATCCTGATCAGCCAGTACAGCTGTACACAACATCCCTGAACCTCATCAAGGTGTGTATATGCCCACATGAGCATGGCATCCTTGTCTATGTTACTCTATAATAAACTTTGACAGTAAAATAGTTACATAACATTAAAGGCAGACGCCACTTCTTCAACAAACCCACAGACAAGAAATGTCAAACGCGGGTGTTGAACTTTTGACTAAGAACTTAACAGGCTTAACAGAGGGATTTAAAATAACTTGCTTAGAGTAGAATGCTAAAGAGAAAAATCTGGATGGAGATTTATACAGAGTAGTGCAGAGTAAATTGTACTTTATTGTAATTTTTTCCCATGTATTTTTCCATTCAGAAGGAAAACCTCCCACTGTATTGTCTCACACTTACATAAATACAGCCTGTAAAAAATATTATATGCATGTTCTTACAAACCTTTTGACTGGCTCTGCATGCACAAGTGCAGCATCAGTCATTACTTTCATCCAAGACTCCATCTCTGGCTGTATCAGTAAAAATAGTATGTCCGCATGTTGGGATGTGCGCCTGTTTTGACAATGGACAGGATCACAGACAGGAACAGTGACACACAGAAAAGTTACCTGAAAGAGAGAAGAGAAAAGCATCAAGTCAACTGGGATTTTTAGCACTTGAACCCTGACGGGTGAATCAAAATTGGTTAAGGCTATGTGATAGCTTGTGAAATGCTCCCAGTTGTGGGCATCTGTACCATCCACGTAAAAAACCATGAGTCACCTGTGTTTCATGCATACAACTAGATTAGGGCATTAAATCTCCCACAGTACTGTAGGACTTACCACGCAGTGCTTTGTATGGCTGACACATTGTTCCATAGTTTCTCCGTTCGCTTGCAGTGAACAAACCAATTTATTGTTGCAGCCAGACAAAGAAAGAGAAGAACAGAATGTTTAGTGAACAATCTCAATATCCTGTTTACCAATGTCTGAAAAACAAAATAAAACACTGCCATTACTCCAATTACTTCAGAATAACCTTGGGAAATAAGGAACTTTTAATGACATGGTCATTTTGGCCACAACAACAAGAGACAGGAAAGGTTTAGAAGGAAAATATGCAGTCAAAAAGTCATCCCATTCTTGAGTGAATCACTAAACTGAAGGGTTGTGCACTGTTCTCGTGTTTCTTCTTCACCTCAACTCTCTCTCTTTCAGAATGAGTCTAAGTTGGAAAAGGAGTGAGCTGTGTGGTTGGAGAGACCTTGAGCAGACTCCTGGGCGTCTTGTGTTTGGCTACTTGGCAGGTCAACTTTTTGTCTCTAGGGTTTATGAAGGACCCACAGTCAAATACTATACACACTCCACTGAGATCCCATAAAATATGCCTGTTGCCCCATAACTTGGGGTTTTTTGAGTGAACTAACAGCACTGCAGTGCTCTGGTACTACAACTGTCAGTAGCCAATAAGACATCACTACTGGCAAGCACTTTCTTTGTTTTGTTAGCATTAGCAGTGTGCAGTTTAAAAAGAAATTACTTGCATTACTTCCCTGTCAATCAATTGTAAATACTTTCTAAAGTAAAGACAAAGCATGTTCAAAGTAAACCTAGAAGTTGATTTATATGCTTAAGAAAGCATAGTAAACCACAACAGCAAAAACATTTTTACATCTTATTTTAATAGAGATTTAAATAATAACAATAATGATTTACTTTTCTATGCTCTAAATGTCCTTAACCATAAAATGTGCAGTCTAACAAAGTTTGACAAGGATGAAAACATGCACTGACCTTGAAGGCATATTTTCTGTTAATGTGATCTTCCACAGACAGCATGGATATATGAAAGCTTGGTAGGAGGATGCTGCCAAGTATGCCCTCCTCTTTTTCATCTGCAGAGAAAAAACACATCAACACAATGCAATAGGGGCGATTTTGGTCAGTCAACTTAAAGTTGTCTTTGGCACTACACTGCACCACACTCTACACTAATTTGTAGACATAAAAAAGCCTAGAGACTTACTAAGTGGATTGCGAGATAAAAACTAAAAGAGGAGTGTGTTGGACAGATGAGCAGAGGCCAATCACTGATTGATTCAGTGCAGCTAGGCTGCTCTAATCCTCATTAAATTTGCAGACAGGGCTCCACATTGACAACGGAGAACTCTCCACAGGGGGGATTAGATTGCGTCCCGAGTTTTAAGCAGAGAATTGCTAAACATCCTAATTTGATATAAGCAATCTGCACTGCTTACCCAAAACAGTGTAGGAAAACTAAATATATCAAGGAAGTAACTGCTGCAGGTTCATATGTGCATTTGCTTTGTCTGCTTGGTATGTGTTCATGTTTCTGTGTGGTTGACTGGGGATGTTATGTAAATGTCTATTAACACATACTGGTAGTAACTGGGAGGAAAAAGGCTCATCGTGGATGGTGAGTATTATTTGGGGAAATAAATGATTGCTGAACTCTGATCAGCCTCTGGTGGATTAGAGGTCAAAGTGACTGGACTGAAGGACTGAAGGATTGATCTATTCGAAAGCATCAGGTGTTCCGGCAATCTACTGGTTGCAGATTTATTTATTAAGTATCGGTGTCTCTTTCTCTCTCTCTCTCTCTCTCACACACACACACACATACAGAGGATTCAGCGGAACGGTCTCTGAGCATAAGCTAACATAGTGGGAGATCTAGAAAGCACATAGTCTGATAACTACAGCAGATATCATTTGTGTCTAGTTGAGGGTCGGCGCAGTTCATGACCTCTCTGCCCACTCTCTGCTGATGGATGGATTTCTCAACACGTCTGTCTAGATAAAGCCTTTGGGTTTGCTGCTGTCTGTGGCTTTTGTCAGTCAGTGGGTGGAAAGAAGGCGACAGGACTGGCAGACACCAGAAATAACACAGACTAGATGTCATCCTGATCAGCAGAAATGATGACTGTATCCGCATCAACTGAGCAGGGGCATTGTGATATGGTGACTTGTGTCAGACACAACTTAAATTTTCTTTGTAGCTGCAGACTAACAGCAGACTTACTCTACAGCTACCTTACAGCCTCAATGGTTTACAGGATTCTATTTGTTTTCAAATAGGAAAGCCCTCAAACGTCCTCTGGACACAGCTGTGTCAATATTTGATATGAACATTAGTACTGCATGAGAGAAGCTGAAACGCCCAGTCAATAGCAGCTCAGTCATTAGCATCTTATAAAAAAAGATCACATCTAACACTTGCAAATGTTTTCCTACTGCACAATAATACCAAAGAGGATTATAAGGATAGCCAGATTTTAATTATTTAATGGAAAACTAAAACTGAACTGAAAAAACATGACTAAGATTATGACTATGGTTAAAGTGCCATGGGTACATAAAAAATTCATTCAAGTTTCCACTTCAGACAAAATATAAACTTTTATTACTTGGTTATAAAAGTATAGGTTGTCTTTACTAAATTATAGAACCATGTAAATACCACACATATTCAAAAGGATGATTACAGTGATAATACAAGAGTGGTCTCTCTGATGTGGAAAGGGATCTTTAAATATTAGGATCAATTTTGTTTAATGCAACTGATTCCAAGACTTATGCTTATGCAACCACTGTATAAAAACAGCATGATCTCTGGAAACTTGTTTCGTGACTTAACATTAGTGTGAAGTCCAATGTACTGCTATGCTTTCTCTTTCAACATTATGGATGCATCCAAGCCATTAAAGCCCTGGCTTTGCTTGGGGAAAAATATAAAATCTCTCAAATGGCAAATCAGACGACAGGAGAGCCATTTCAATTAATATGTCTCCTCTGTTGGTCCTGACAGGCTGCTTACCACAGGGACTATATACTATATATCCATATACATTAACAATTGCCAAGAGCGAAGCTTGTGGCTCTTAAGGTCACAACAGCACTTTGAACTAATAAAAAAACACTATTGTTGTAATCACTGCAATACTAATAAAACATGTTGGTAGCTGAAAGGACAGGACTCACCTCTGTAGTAAAAGAGGCACAGGTCAGACAGCACAAACCACCTCTTTTTCCACAGCTTCATCCCTGTACTGTCCTGAAAAGACACCAGAGAAAAAAGCAACAGTTACTTCACAAACTCGTGGGAATATTTGTGAAATGAAAAAGAAAAAGTATTTGCTGTTAAGTGCACATACCTCCTCAAACATAATCAGTTGAATTCCTATCTAATCTAATAGACTGGGTTAGTAACTTCAAAGGACTGCAGCCAATCAGTTACTTTTTGATTTGTGTGTTGTTTTAATTATTCTTTCTAATATGTTGTCAAATTGTTTTCTTATATTTGGAACTGATTTACAGGTGTGTGTTGTCGGGTCATGTATTTCTGCATATTCTGGTCTAAAATGCCTGTGGAACTCCACTGTGTATATAATTTTAAGGAAATAAACAGCTTTCACTTTTAAAAGAAAGTCTGTTGTTCAAATGGCAACAAAAAACAGCCTCCTTTGCTTGGTATCGCAATGCTATGATCAAAGGGGGTTTCAGGCTGCTGTTTAAAAAGGATGAAGGGTGAGGAAAAGGGTATTAACTCCCCCATGCGCTATATTGGAAAACTTGAGCAGAGTCCCTAATCGTGGATTCCACCCGGAGACAAAAGTAGGGGGACGGACCTCAACAACTCTGTCATTATGGTCAAACAGCATGTGGGCTGCAGTTTACTTTAAATGGAAATTCACTTCCATGAACCAGCATGTTTAACACATTAGTATCAAAGGCATAATACCAGATGCTGCTGAGTTTGTTCTTAATGGAGGCACATCAGAAGTGTAACAAAAAGATTCAAACTTTCTGTCAGATCAAGCGCTGTTCAGGCGGGAAGGAAAAAAAAGAGGCATTCACCATCACATCAATCACTCTGGCATTTTGTTCTCCCAATGGATCAACTGAAGGGCTGCAGCTTTTCCTCAGCCAAGGACTTCAATAGCTTCCAGGTTTGAATGAGGCAGGAAAATAAAACTGCAAATCCAGCTTTTATTCAGGGTAGCAGATTTGTGAGTCTTTTACTTGATCTACGTCACCCTGATTGAGGTCCCCAAAGAAATAGCAGCTGGCAGCTGTTCCAAAGGAAGCCATCATGAGTTCACAAAAAACGGGAGGCTGCAATCAAAACTAAATGAGTTTCCCACTTAGGAAGCATGAGAGAGTCTTGTCTGGCCAAGAGCTGCCTCAAGCACCCCCCCTTTACCCTCATGTAAGTAACCAGGGAGCTGTAATGAAGGATTGGTATTTAAACACTGCCCACACTGAATGACTGGCTGAGCAGAAACACTTAACAAATAAATGCTCAGATCCTGTACGACATCAGAAAACTTCCTTTGTGCTTATCTTAAGACTGTTGATTTGTTGCAAATCTTAATGGGAGAGGGAGACCTCTGTGTTTAAAAATAATAAATATACTGTATAATAATATGTAGAAATATAGTTTGCACCACAAGACAACCTCCCTCTAAGCTAAATTCACACACTTTTTCCCAAATATCCTTGTTTCTAAATATCAATTATATTATAAACACATTTATCAAACAAATAACCAAATATATGCAAACATACAATAAACTAATATGAATATGTGTATAAAATACAGTATCTCATAAAAGTGAATGACATCGATAACCAGCTGATGACAGTTATACTGTCATTTCAGTCTCAACAACTACCATGACTAACAATGATGTCAAGTTACCTACTCTTTTTCAGCACATTATATGATTTATCGGACTAAATGTAAAGTTTTACTTGAAGTCATATAATTCATCTCACCTGTTTATAAAGCCAGTTTCTCTTGATTACTGGGGCACTGGGATTCCTCCTGATGGAGTTGGATCTCTTTCCAAAGTTATGAATTTTTTTAGAAGGTCTTGAGGGCTAGAATAATAGTATGAATCAGTGAAAAACAACAACAAAAAACATTTTCCATTTCCATTTATCAAGTTTTCAAGGCATGATCCTGTTGGTCCTAATTTAACAGACGTGCATTGTAATCTTGTCTGCATGTGTGTCACTCACTCTTCCTGCTGGGCTACTGGGGTTAACGGCATAGTCCGAGACGCCTGTGTAGTTGGATGCCTCACTCATGGTGCTTAGTGGCCGTTCCTTCTTCTCATTCGCTGGCACTTTGGAGGCAGACCTAAACAAAAGAAACAAAGCATGCCAAGAGCATATAGGCAAATAATCAATCAGAATTATAGACTGCCGATTTATGTCTAATTACCTCGATAAAATCAGGAAAATACAAGGAAGTGTCTGTCCCATCATTCCTCTGAAGTTCAAACTCTCTGTTATAATGAGATCTCAACATGGGCCAATGAATCAAGCCAATTACTCCCACCATGTCACTGCAGTTACATCCCCAGTTCCCCAGTTCCCTAACAGCTTCAAATGGTCTGCAAACTCTGCCTGACATACTGGAATGCAGTATGAAGTTGAAAGCATAGTAAGTTCAATACATTTGCCATAGGATAGAACACCTTGGAAAATAAATTGTCTGGATTGGAGCATAAAGATGTCCTACATTCTTTAGGAAGGGAACAATGTTGTAGTCTAGAGGGAACAAGACAGGAAAACCAGAGTAGAGCAGAAATACTGCAGCAGTGAAAAAAAGTGTAATATATCAGATGTGCTGGTTTCAGGTCACTGAATAAGGACAGAAACTGCCCATTTCACCAATGATCTAACATTCATAGATTTCAGATTATATAGTGCCATTCATCATTAATGAAGCACTCATTTCATAATAAATATTCTTAGGGCTGAATGATTAATTGCATTTGCGATATCGCGATGTGATAGAACAAGATTTTCTAATCGCAAAGTCTGCGACACCCACATGATACCCAAGATTAAAGCAGTCTGCAGAGGAAGCATCAACTTCGCACGTTACGCTGTACTTCTACTTGTTGTTGTACAATGGCCTTAAGCTTGACAAAAGCTGACACTACAGAAACTTCAGTGTCTCACAGGGAATTAAAGTAGCACCTGCCACCCACGGGTAACTTGGTGGTTGTGGTGGGTGAAATCGTTGGGCCATCTGCCGCTTTGACGGGCAGAAAAAATGCAGAAAAACACGTGTAGTAAGGTAAGCGTATTGTGCCTGCATCACACACACAGCCACCAGTCAGCTCAGGAACTGAGAGGCACGAGTTACCACCTGGTTACAGCCAGTGCGCCGCTTACCAGCATCGGAGGGGAACTCCGGCGTTGTCAGAGAATCACTAACCTTGCCTATTAAACACAAGAGGTGTCACTTGGTTTTATTTTCGTTGGCCAACTTTTGAATTGAACCTCAAACTGAGTATTTTTGTTTGCTTACTGGGATATAGAAAGATGGACTCCGAGGAGATGTGAACTGAGATAAGGACGCATTATTGGTGGTTTAACTGTGTGTTCTGTTTTGAGCAATTACTGTATAATACACTGTCGTGAACTTAGTTTTTCTTGTGGGTAGGCTAACCTGATGATATTATATCATATTATTTAATGCCATGACTTGACTCAAATTATCTTTTTCATATTATTAAAAAATGTATACTTCTTCTCCACCATTGCTCATAATAATAATTCATGCAATTCATGCATCACCTAATTTAATCATAACACAGGCCTGACCCACAAGAAAGAACAGTGTATGTTTAATCTAATATTGTGTTGGTCATACTATACACAGATTTACTGCTTGTCTGTTTTGAATAATACACAAGGTAAAGAGCTTAAAAATTAATCACATATTAAATCACAATCGCAATATTGGTTAACAAAACAATCGCCATTAGATTATTTTCTAAAATCGTCCAGCCCTATTATCAATCCATTCATCATCTACATGTACTTTCCATCCATCAATACTGTTATCTGTTAGATAAGAAGACAAAACTTCACACTCCAAAAAAGAAAAAACAGAGTAAATTTAAAAACGGTTTAACAATTCAGACTCCATGCTGTTATACTCATACAGTCTATGGTTAGGTGCACAAACATGAAAAGGGATCACAAGGGATAACATCAGCTTGTCTCACAACAGCAGGCAACACACAAAGGATGTTAATTTCCGTGCAGCATAGTGACAGGTCTAATACCACCTGCAGACCCTTCAACAAATGACGAAGCAAAACACTGAAAATCACAAACTGACTTTGTTTTATCTGTATTTAGAAGAAAAGTTACAAGGCTTATTAGAAGGTAGGGCTTAGTTGCACGAAGCAGCAACACTTACTATTAAGTAGCTCTTCTGATTGCTAAGTCAATAAGGTAATTTCTTACATTCTTATTAGAGTTCACTGGCTGTCTTAATGTCCTAATATCTTAATACTAAGGTGGCTCTGTAGAAGTGACACCTCCTTGGAGATGCCACAAAGTAAGTCATTGGGTAGACAAGTGGGTGACTAATGCTAATGAGTTGAAGTGCACACAATTTTCAACTCACTACAGTAAAATATCTGCAGTAAAATATCTGCTTGTGCAGACTGATGAGTAGCCACTGAGATTTGCGTTCTTCTCCATCTAATGAGCTTCCTCCAGAAAATGAGCACTGAACATTTTCAGCACTTCCAGTGACAAATGGAATCCTGGGTGAACTATAATCAATGGTGTGTTGATTTGCCATCGAAACACAAAAGGTTGGGAGGGGTCTGATTGACTGATTTTATTTATGGATTATTTGACACAGGAAAAAACAAAAATCCAAAGGATAATGTGAAGAATAAAGTAAAAGCACTTATTTCAGAGTGGTCCCAAGATGTAAGACACAAAGAAAACACAAAAAGGACATTCAACATAAAAGAACAGCTAAAGTAACATTGTCATTGCAAATGTCAATATACATCTGTTACCTTGTTCCATAAAAAAGTCCTAACCTGACTTCTATAAGCCCCTCACATTTAAAAACGTATTTAATGGAATTTAATGGAAGGCTGTTCCACATTCAAGAGGCGAAAAGTCTTCAAGTATCTTCAACAAAGTCCAGTTGCCATTGATTTTAAACTTTCTTGGATATATAATGGTACTTTTGTCTATGGATAGATAGGAGCGTTTAGCTCCAGAACACTCACCACACATCAGCTAGAGGCTGAAATTGAGCCAATTACTATGGGGGATGATTAGATGGCCAGTTGGTGAAAGCCAGGTTGGGAATTTTGCCATGGCTCTTTGCGACAAGTGCCATGGATCTTTAATGACCACAATGAGTCAGGACCTAAGTTTAACGTCTCATTTGAAGGACGGCAGCTCCTACAGCGCATTGTCCACATCACTGCACTGGGGCATTGCGATCTTATTATTAAGACGAGAGGGAAGACTGCCCCCTACTGGCCCACCTCTTCCAGCAGCAACTCAAGGCCGATTTATACTCCTGCGTAGGGTCTACGTGCGTACCTACGCCGTGTCTGTGCAGTCGTTTCCTCGTAACTGTGTTACAGCCGCCGTTTTGGCCGCTAGTAAATGTTACTTTAAAGCACAGGGTACTTCTGGTCGGCTCGGAGGCATTGCAAGGCTACCCAGCCGACCAATCACAGAGCTTACGGTCCACGTCGACTCGATGTGTAGTTACATTTTTGCGGAGGTGCACGTCAGGCAACAGCGTAGCCCTGTAGCCTACGCCGTCGATTTGACGCAGAAGTATAAATTGCCGTTTAGTTTTCTCAGTAGGTCTCCCATTCAGGTACTGGCCAAGCCTAAATCTGCTTAGCTTCAGTCAATCAGCAGGGTTTACATTGGTATGGCTGCGGTACTATTTAGCTGAGAAGGTTTGTGACCAGGCCGCCATTTTTTTTCCTGCTTGAAAATGGACTAAGCACTGTCCCAACTTGTGCGCTCAGCACTAATTCACACTTTTCATTGCTCTTATTGGTCCGTAGTGTTTCTATGCGCACCATGTTGACCATGTGATGCACTTGCAACTTGCAAGTGCATCACATGGTCAACAGGCAGGACAAGCACACTTACTCTGACACCCAGGGGAAATTCACTGGCTTCAGTTGATCCAACATAATTTGTATGCCTTTGGTCTGCTGGAGGAAACGACTGTACCAAGAAGTACACACAGAGGTACACAGAGAGAACATGCCAACGCCACACTTTGGGGCCCACAGATCAAGCTCAGGACTTCTCACAGCGAGATGAATGTGCTATCCACTGGGCTGCCATAATAAAGAAGACCGTAACCAGTAGGGGTGTGAAGACACACTTAGCTCACAAGACGATATTGGGTTCACGAGAACGAGACAATATTTTAACACTATTTATAAGGAATCCTCAATGACAAAACATATGACTGTAAGAACAATCTTTTATTTGACTGAAAGTCACAAAATGCTTAATAATTCAGGTGTATTTTGAAATGTTGCCTTGTTGTGTCTTGTCTGTCACTCTGTCGTCATTTATTGTTTCCACCGGGGACCCAAAATGCTGCTGCACAAACGATTTCAAAGTGGCGGGGGCACATTGCATCCTAATTTCACCCTCATACTCTTTCATGCTGATATCATGAGACAACTTTCCACCTGTTTTAATATCACAATATCTAGTGGCACAATATCTTGTCACACCCCTGGTAACGCAATGCATAATGTACATTACATTTAAGAAACATTGCTTCAAAGATTTCCACCTAATTTTCTCTGTTTTATCATAAAATCAGTAAATGTTTTGCTTACTTACTAAGACAAACCAATATGTATTACAATGTCACATCACTGCCTGGTTCAGCATGGATTTTGTGTGCCTGTGTGAGCATGTAGGTCTGTGTGTGCAAAAAAGAGTGAGGAGGGATTACACTGCCACTGAAGCCTGGTGCTCTAAGCACATTGGGGGAAAACGCTGAACTGAGTGGCTGAGGGTGCATTTTTAAATTGACCACACAGCATTTCTAAAGAAACAAGGCTGCTTTCAAATACTTTTGTTTGGTGGTGAACCTGACCTTTAACGAACAAAAAACTAAAAGACAAGGCAAGATATCAGTGTATACATTTACAGGTTTACAGATGCAGTGTAGCACAGAGCTGGGTGATATTGTTCACCAACCCAATTTGACTCCTGTCACTTTGTTTTGGAAATGTGTGATGCTTTTAAGGACTATTCCCTCTGAAAAGTACGGGTCTAAGTCGAAAGTCACACTTCTGCTCTAATTTGTATTTC